CAGGGTTTCGGTCTTTGAGAAATCTGCAATGTATACATAGCAGAGGTGCCTGACACCCCCCCCCAAACTCAAGGACAGTGTGCGTTAATGTAGCCATGAGCACAAAATTAAGCTGTGCCAATAAAGTCTCTAGAGTCAAGGTGGTGAGTGAGTAGAGCCAGGAGTTGTCAGTCAAGGCAGGCTTCCAGGAAGGAACCTGCTGGCCTTGGCAATGGAAGCACGGCTGGGTGGGGGGATGCTAACGGGCACCCCTCTGCATTCAGCCTTCCTTGATTAAATTCAAAGATGCTGCTGTATCAAGGGCTGGAGAAGGGCCTCAGGCAGGTAAGGGGCAAGGGAGGGTCGTACCATCCTCCAATCAATGTAACCTCCTCCACTCAGAGTGTAATTCTGGAGGAAGAAACAGAGGCAATAAGGCCTCAAATTAGAATTGCCATGGGTGGGGTGAGCTCTGCCAACTCAGAAGCAAGCTCCACAAGAGAGAACAGGGGCCCTTCCTACAGAAGGATGGATGGATGGATGCCATAGGAGGACATCCAGGAATATTTCTCCCGCCTCCCTTCCAAATAGCTTTTCTGTCAGTGCTTAAAGTTCCGTCATTAAAGATGTGTTCCCTCCCCCTCCTTTTAAGGAATTTTTCTTCACTATAAATGTTAAATCTGCCTGTCATAGAAAATTTGGAAAATGCAAAGAGGATAAAAACATTTTTTACCCATACTCCCAACCTCCAAGGCACCCGCTTTTCAAACATTTTGGTGTCTTCGCCACCTTTTTTGGTGGTTGTTTTCAAGCACAGCCATGAGTCTCCTGCATATGGAATTCTGTAACCCATTTTCCCCACTTAGCTTTTAGCTCTGTTTCAGCCTGATGTTCTGAAGACATCAAGTTCCCAACCACCAAGTGCCAGTGACTTCCATGACACTGGAGAAGTTAGTCACCTTTCTGGGCCTTAGTGTCCTATCTATAATAGTGGGGACAGTGATGCCTAATGTGCTACCTCACAGGGCCCGGAGCCAAATAACGCAAGTGGGAGTCAAGAACAATTCAAATTTGGGGGGTGGGGTGGGGTTAGGATGAATGGGAGTGGTCAGAATAAAACTAGTCATATTGAGGCCATGGCAGAGAAGGCTGGGTCTTGGGGGTGGGTGAAGGACAGGCAGAGGGGCAGGTGAGCACACTCGCACCCGTCCTGCTGGGCCTTCCCAGGACCAGCTTTCCTGAGGAGCCTTAGGCCTGGGCACCGGTGCCTTCCCTCAGATCTGCTCAGGCATCACCTGCCCCACTTCCTGTTGGGCTGAGTCCATTTTCAGTGCAGGCGTGAGGGTGATTAGAGGGAGATAGCCAGCCTGGAATTCTTTGCTTCCACTAGCTCAGGGCCTGGTGGTGAGCTCCGGGGATCGTGTGATTGCTAGGCTCTGCCTAGGACCTGGGCTTGGCTGGGGTTTGGAGTTGTGGGAGACCTGGGCCCAGACAAAGATGCATGGTTTCTGAGAGTTTTCTTCAGGCAGGGTGGCTGGGCCTGGGGGCAGAATGGGGGGCGGGGAGGGGCA